TCTAACTTCCTCGCAATATCTGCAACCCGAGAAGTTAACATAGTAAGCATATCTTCTTGAAAATTTGCTACCCTCTTGGGGTTTACTCTTTTAAAGCTATTAGCATTATAATCAAAATCTGAATATTCATTATACTGTTGATCCACCATTTTACATTAAATTCATTGAGTCTTTTTTGATTCATAATCCTCCTAAAAGCTCTGTCCAAATTTGGTCGCAAAATTCAAGGTCAGCAGCTCCTGAACTACACATACAAATTTAAAGACTTAATTCTTGATATTTTAAATTTTCCTTAAAATAAACACACAAAAACTCACTAGATAATAATACTATAATTTTCAAATCTAAGTTTTACAGGTTTAACTAAAATTCTCCTAAAGTTCTTGTCGTTGTTTTCCTGGTAACGTCGCCAAAAACTTGACCCGACCCGTAATTACACAATAATTTAGCTTCCAAAATATGACAAAAAACTTGACCTACTTTATATTCCAAAATATGACAAAAAACTTGACCAAAAAACTTGACCTACTTTATATTCAGTGGCTAGTGTGCAAAATCAAAATTTTATAAAATATAAAAAATAATTCACAGTAGGGGTTTTACGCAACCGTACGTATCATTTCAAGTAATATAGAGCTTTCTTTAAAAGCCCCAGTAATAATCCCACAGAGAAACTAGGTAAGAAATTCCTTAAGTTAATTTTAGTCTACTACTATTAGGTGTTAATTGGAATTTTGATTAAAGTGGCTTTTAGCTACTCATAAATGAAAGTGTTAAATCTAAGATCTAACAACTACTCCTAAATGAAAATATTAAATCTAATATTAAATTGAAAATATTAAATCTAAAGATAACATTTTCTGGACGAATGAGTTTGGAGAATTTTGAGATGTTAAAAACTACTGTTCTTTTGTAGTGAACTAGATAATGTTTAGGAATGAGATGCATAGAATTCAACATCGCTAATGACAATAGAAGCAAAATTGATAGGAATCTAGCATGTCATCCTAGAAACAACTAATTTACACCCATTAAAAATATTTCCTTATTATTGCATTCAACTAAATTAAATATTGTAATGTGTCAAATAGGAGCATACTTATTCTTTTTCCTCTTTATGAGCGACAAAGAACATTGGTTAATCTAGAGTTTGGTCTCTAAATCTGTGGTTAGGCTGGGAAGATACTGACTCTCATTTCAGAGTTCCCACGTTCCCCTTATCTTGCTTTAATTTACAAATATTTGGACCAAATTGGTGATTTTAGTTAGTCGCCTTAAAATCATCAATTTTACGCCCATCAAAGTTTATTTCCCTATTTATTTGCATTCAACCCCATGAAATATATTCTAATCTATGAAATTAAATGTGGTTCCACTTTATTGAGAATTACAACGCCCTCTCGAATCTTAATGCAATTACAATAAGTTTCAACATTACAATGGACCTAAATTGCAATGTAAATGAAGTTCCAATAAAAACCATCACATTGATAATCAAAACCTATTATAACATGCATCATAAAATCCTAAACATGAATCATACTCATTGCAAAAAAAAATTAAAAAGAAAACAATGACATAATCTTCTCATACCAGTGTTTCCTAATAAAAAGAAAGAGCAAGAAAAACTACTCACAAAGCAAGATGAAAACATAACGAAAAACTTCATTACATAAAAAAAAAATCCATTAGATAAGTGTTTACAAAATCATATGAAAATAAAGTACACATAACTTAGTTTTTTCCTCTTGAAAGAAAGATGAAGATCTCTCCCACAAAATCTCCTGCTAATCCATGCACCGCTAGTACAATTCCTTAATTTTTCTCTCAAAATCCCCTCTCCAATCTCTCCAGAAAAGCTAAAAATCTACATTTTTACTCCCAAACATTCCTCTTTATTTTTACTCTCAAGCATTCTTCTTGATTCTCCCGCCAAAACTCTCTCTAAAAATCCCCCTCTAGACTCTTCATGTGGGGTGTCAAGCCCCTCTTTTTAAAGAGACCCAAAACACATCCTTTTCTTAAGTGACACACCTCTTCACTCCAAGAGACACAGACACACCATTTAATCCAAAAGCTTTTCCAAGTGTCTAGATTCATTGAACCACCCCATGGGGTGTGCAAGTTGTTTAGAATCTTCCATAACATCCCAACATAGCTCGAAATTGTAAAAAATCTGCCCTTTAACCGTTTCTGGCACCTAGGTACTGTCTTCTCTGTCTTTTGGTGCTTAGGCGCCACCCTACAGGCAGCTCCACCGTTTTGCCCCGTTTCACTCAGTTTTAGCTCCGTTTCAGTTTCGTTTCATTCCAAATTGTTATACCTATAAAATAAGCATGAAAATAATCTTTTTTTAAGTGTAATTTCATTACAAAACATGTGATAAATTTAAAGGAGATTAAACATAGAAAGAAATCAAAATGTGTCAGGTCAGAATTTTCTTCTTTCTCGTTTTGGCTCCAAATTGTACAGTTTTTCGTTTATTTTCTCCAAAAGTCTATTTCTTGTACATGAAACCAAAAACATGCAACATATATATATATATATTATATAATTTCTAGGCGTATCATCCACCTTGATTCAAACCCCAAATTGAGCCCATCCTATGTGGCTAACCCTTATTGGTCATTGGTGCCGCTTAGCTATAAATCTCCCTCTCACGGCCAAGCATGGAAAAAGAGGAAATTGCTTGAGGAGACTCTTCCAAAATCACTCCAGAGCTTCTCCTATCCTCACTGAGTTCAAATCCACTGTCCTTAACCGCCCATTCCTACTGTCTAAGATCAATTTTTTCTGAAATCCAAGGCAGTTTTTTTGTGATTCCATAAACCTCCACCAGTCTTCAAATTTCTTTGCTTCTGAGCTTCCCCAGAGCATAAGGAGATGTTCCCAAGTAAAAGCCCCATCCTTTGAGCTCTCAACACTAGACCTAGATCAAGGCCGCACAACTTGCTGATCGAACTCATACCTTGGCCCCATACTAGAGGAATGTGACGCTTTGAGCACGTTTGTGGGACTCCAATGATTCTTTTACAACCAACCATGAGGCCTCACCTCTTGGGCAAATGTATAACTCAAAATCTATTGGAAAAAAGATCTTAGAGAATTACTTTGGTCAAAAAAGAAATTTTTTGAAAAATAATGATGAGTAAGAAAATGTTTTCTATCTCTCAAAAGAAACTTTTCTTGGACCATACATCATAACTCATCATGTATAAGTTGATAAGGGGTGCTACCAAGATGATGTTGGATGAATATGTAGAACTAGCATTGTTAAGGTGATCTTGGTGGTGGAGGAATTCTTGTGTGAGGGTGAGGAGGATCCGTGTAGTTTTTCTCAAGTTGGGCACTCCAATTGATTATCAACCTTGAGGTAGGAAAACCCCCTCTCATTGTGCTAAAATTGGGCTTCAAACCTAATGTAAGATCAATAGAATCTCATTTTTGGACTCCTCTATCATACATATCCAATCTTCAAAGGATGGATTGGATTCAACTTCACTAGCAGGGTAATATCTCTTAGGAAGGAAAAACCATATTCTTAGTATCATTGGTTTTGAAATTATTCTTTAGAATTGTGACTTTAAAGCAAATGATTATGGGTAACACACATGTTGACTATTGATCTAGCGTTCACAGGGCTTTGAGAGGTAGGATTGCTCTTTTCAAAGTTGGCGACAAACTAATATGTAAAAAAAATTTGCATCGACAAAGTTTTTGCATTTATTATTTCAGTTTTGCATAAATATTTAGCACACACATAAATAAAAGAAGAATTAGAAGATGAAGCACTACATTTTTTATATGTAATTTCTTAAAAAAAATTTACAAGACATAGCCTAGTTGAAATGATTCCATTATGTAAATGTAAGTTATAATTTAACTTTTCTTTTGAATAGGAGTAGTTGAGTGTGAAATGTCAACTTCATTTTTTTTTTAGATAACAAAAAATAATTGAGAGGTGGTGTCGATCGATTTGCTACAACGGTGGCTTGATAATGGGGGTTAAGCGACCATGATTAGATGATGATAGACGATGTTGATATGGTGATATGGTGATGATGTTTTGATATCATTAATGGTCCGGTGGCAATGACAATGATTCAATGCAATGTTAAAATCAAGATCAATGATTGTGGTAGGTGGCAACTACATTTGGTAGCAAAAGTGATCCAATGGTGGTGGTCCGACAGTGGTGAAAGTTGGGCAACAATTTTTCAGCATTAATGACGGTGATTGGGCATTTGTGGTCTTGCGGTGCAACAACGAGCGAGGGATGGTGATTTTATGATGATGGATGGGTGGAGCATATAAATCTTTAATATTGTAGAGCTCATGTGAGCCTTATCCTCTAAATTTTGTCGCCCTCTTATGAGAGAGTAATGATCTATTTATAGATTTTAATTGTGACATTCTTCATAAATACCATATAAATTTATACTAATCAGTCAGATGACTCACAAAGATTCCCTGAATTGCACGTGTATCTTGAGTATTTTAATAATGTTAGAATTGAATAACTTTGGTCTCATTGAATTATTTTCATCGAAATACCTAATCTAATTATAGATCATTTGGTTATTCAGTTAATAATCCTAAAATTTTCTATTATACTAGAGTGTATAATTTGAGCTCACTTAGACTCAATTCAAGTCATTTTTGATATCAATTAGTTAGTTTCATTGAGATGTTCAATTTAATTATAAATTTATTAAAAATTGAGTGTATATAGCTTAATTTAGTTATAGAATTTTTGCAATTTTAAGATTCATCACTGTTCATGTCTAACCAAAGATAATTTTTTGGTGATATAATCATTAGTTTAGATAAAATCTAAAAATAGAAAAAAAAATCCAAGAAAACCATATATTTGCACATTGATATCCCTTTTATTGCACATACAATTCTCATGGTAGTTTTATCAATTCACATTGAAGGCGAAGCTTTGCCTTATTTACTTATATTTACTACTTAATAGTTGACGCATTTTTAAGGAAGTTTCGATTAAAGTCCATCCCATTTCCGCCAAACTAAATTAAAAATGGGTCGAATGCGTCCGCATGAGCAAATGGGGCGGTGGGGGGAGGTTTGAATTGAATTAAAGCAGTAGCCATTTTTGGTACAGGAGCAGTCCAGGGGAGTAGGGGTTATTTAGGTTTTATCATTAGGGTTTTAGCAGTCTTCGTCTTTTGGAGTGTGCAGCAGAGCAGTGAGTGAGAGAGGGAGAGAATGAGTGCGATGGAGAAGGAAGTTGCGGGATTGACTTTGGATGCTTCTGTGAAGAACCCAAGGTGCTTCATGGACGTCAGCATTGGTGGAGAGCTGGAAGGGAGGATCGTGATAGAGCTCTTTGCTGATGTGGTGCCGAAGACGGCCAAGAACTTTCTTTCACTCTGCACTGGTGAGAGGGGCATTGGCCCCAATACCGGCGTTCCTCTCCACTTTAAGGTTTTTTTTTTTTTCATGCCTTTTATTTCCTATCCTTGAGTTTGCGATCAGATATAGTTTCTTGGTTTATTTTATTTTGACCTTGATGAGATAGGGATACTTAGATTATGGTTTATTTTTCATCGTTTTCAAATCTTGTTGACTGACTGCTGTTTTTCCTTCGCTATGGTTCTATGGCACATTTTTAACATCATATTTTATTATTCCGATGCCCTGATTTGGTATGACTTTTATATTTTTTGCTTACTTTCTTTACATTGGTGTGTTGCTCATGCTCGTTGTTAAGAATTGAAATCATAGCGGGGTTTTAAACCATTATCACAACATTGTGAGGTTAATTCTTGTGACACTGTTAGGGAGAGTTAATTTTACTTGACTCGAGAATTACTTGTTCATGTTTAAGTTTTAAATGCATGCATTAATGTCCAGACACCAAATGCGGAACAGTTGGATTCAATGTTTTTCTTTCACGCTCTGTTGCCAAACAAATTTTTTACATTTTTGTGTTCAGTGTTAGCCTTAATCCTCTTCCTTGTACCCATTTCAGGGAGTTAAATTGGCTTGCTATGACATAGACTGATTAATGACTTGTATATGCATTTCAGTGAGTGTTAGGTCTTAATCCTCTTCCTTGTACGCTGTTCAGGGAGTTAAATTGGCTTCCTATGGCATGGACTAATTAATGGCTTGTTTATGCAATTGAGTGAAGAATGATAAATAACACCTAAAATCCATAGTTATGTCTTTTTTTGTTTTTTTTTACATTTTATTTTCATTAATAGTTGGTGGTATTTTGGTATATTTTTTTTACAGGGTTCACGTTTTCATCGTGTAATCAAAGGTTTTATGGTTCAAGGTGGAGATATTTCTGCTGGTGATGGAACTGGTGGAGAATCCATCTATGGTTTGAAATTTGAGGATGAAAACTTTGAGTTAAAACATCAAAAGAAAGGCATACTATCAATGGCAAATTCTGGGCCAAACACTAATGGATCACAATTCTTTATTACTACTACCCGAACACCTCATCTTGATGGAAAACACGTAGTATTTGGGAAGGTATTGAAAGGCATGGGAGTAGTTCGCTCGATTGAACATACCCATGTTGGTGATGGTGATTGTCCAATTGTTGATGTTATAATTTCTGACTGTGGAGAACTTCCTGAAGGGGTTGAGGATGGAGCTATAAATTTCTTCAAAGATGGTGACATGTATCCAGATTGGCCTGCTGATCTTGATGAGAAACATGATGAGGTTGCATGGTGGATAAATGCTGTGGATGCTACCAAATCTCTTGGGAATGAGTACTACAAGGTTTTTTTGTTTGATCTTGCCCTTAGCTTGAACTCTTACTCCTATTTTTCTTTTTTTTTATTATTTTGATTTTATTGATAAAGTAGTATACGACTATTTTCTTTAATGAATGTTTGTTTCCTCTCTTTGATGAGGTTTCTTTAGTTTAATGATGTAAATTACTTGAAATGCTTTTTGAGATATTTGACTGCTTGTTATATTAAATATGTCATAGCAGAAAATGCTTTTTCTCAGATTTGTTTGTGCTTACAGTTTTTACGTTACGTTGTCATATTACTGATTATGTACTGATAAATTGCATATTTATGCAGAAAGAGGATTATAAGATGGCTGTTAGAAAATATCGCAAGGCTTTGCGTTACTTGGATGTCTGTTGGGAGAAGGAAGAAATTGATGAAGGCAGGCTGTTTGTTTTATATATCTTTTTTTACTGGGGAATCTTTGAATTATTTTAATATAACATTTATTTTCTTATGTTTTGATGATTTCTAGAAAAGAATGCATTCTTGCGGAAGACAAAATCAGTGATTCTCACTAACAGTTCTGTAAGTTTCTTTTCTACAATCTTTGAACTCATTACTAAAATTTAATTTTATGTGCTTAATCGCGAAGTAAATATTTGTGCAAAAATCTGAATTTGATGATGGGTGGGAATATTTCATTGTGATGTCAATAAACGAATTATCCATCACCATTTGATTTAGAAGTTGTGTGAAGACGATATCATGTCTAGTTTTTTTATTCTGTAGTTCTCACTTTAAGGTTTTTCATGAAGTCAAAAATTTGTGGAGACTTTACTAAATTGAGAACAAATGGGTAGCTAAATGTATACTGAAAAAGTGTTAGAACGAATTTCGTGGAGATCTGATGCCACAAACAGGACATAACATGTTAAATGAGAGCCTCAAAAGCTCAATTGTTCAATCAGAGGCATCATGATTAAGATTGATCAAGGCAAGTAAGCAGCTCGAACCTGAGCAGTTCAACCAGAAACGAAATGCAAGGGAATCCAAGCCATTCCCCATGATGAAACCAACCTAAGGAGGGAGTTAATCTCTCATGTCTACAATTATATCAGAGTCATCTAATAGTTTCCCCGAACATCATCAAGGATTAGTGAGACGAGTATCAACCATTCCTCAAGACCTCTTCGTCTATGAGTGACTACTTATCGGATTACAGTGGTTTATCTTGCTCTATATTCTAGCTTTGGCTTGCTGATAGGAGCTCCTTATTAGGGATTGAGCGTCAGCGACCGGACTTGACCCATCGATCGACACAATTTAGCTGATTGAGTCAATCTTGTGAACCCATTGCTAGTAAAAATTCAGTCAACCGACATCATTAAACCTAGTCGACCGATAGTCTACTGGACCAGGCAGATCGACTAGCCTCCTTAGCTTAGCCGACCAACACGCCTACCAATGGCTCACTAGTCCAGCCAACCGAGACTTAGAGTTGTCAGGCTTTAAGCCCCATATATGTGAAATACTTGTAATACTTTGTACAATTCCCACTAAAACAGGAGTACAAGTGTAACTTCACATATTGTACCCTCATTTATATATAAATATGAGATCATTTTATGAATAAATGATACATTTTTCTCTTAAATTACTGTTCATTACTGTGCATTTCTCTCTCTCTCTTCTGTCTTACACTCTATTCCTCAGGTGTGATTCACGGACAAATCAGAATTCAACATCCTTATTACTATGCATTTCTCTCTCTCTCTCTCTCTTCTGTCTTACACTCTATTCCTCGGGTGTGATTCACGGACAAATCAGAATTCAACATCCTAAAAGATGCAGCGAGCTTGGATCATGCCAACAATAAGAAGAGTAAGACAATGAGAAAACACTCAACAGAAACATCACAACTTAGAGTGCAATAGGGAGTTTGTATAGTAACATATCCAGGAGTTGAAGGATGAGATGATGAATGCCTTCAAGGTGGTGTTGGCTTGGAGAAGGGATCAGAACCCCCGACAAGAAGCACCAGCGCCACACTCGACGGGCAAAGGGTGCCATTGATTGAAGAAGTATCAAAGATTCCCAATACCTCGAAAGTGTTGGGTCTGCATTGATGGACATATAATGGTTTGGACGAATGAACCGAACTGAGGCACCACTTCAGCCAGAGAACTCTTTTTTTCGGTATATTTCTGAAGTTGATGCATTTGAGACATTCAATGTTTCTGCTTTAGAATTCAATGGGTTGGATTGATTCAACTGACCACATCGCTTCCTTTGAATCGATTTTCTGTTTGTTAAGGATCATAGAAATGTTAGTCACTTGTTTTTCACTATGCTGAGGGAGTTTGCCCTCTGGTGGTTTAATAAATTTCTAGAGAGAGTAATCACATTATTTACAAACTTCAAGCGGATGTTCATGGCACAATTTGTGAGCACTCGAAAGCCCCAAAAGAGTTCTCTGACTATGCCGCAGATCAGGCAGGGGCAGAGTGAAAGCTTACACTCATTCATTACTCAATTTCAGAAGGAGATGCTGGAGATACGAGACTTGAAACCTGTAACAACACATGCCACCTTATCTCAAGTACTGAAATAAGGATATTTTCGCTTCTCCTTGGCCCTTCAGCAACCAAAGATATTAGTTGACTTGTTGAGTTGACCAACAAATCTTGTCTCGGCTGAGGAGTACAATTCCATCACTACTTCCGTCAAAGCAGAATCCTCCACCTGTTGTTGCAGAAAAGGGCCCTAAGAATGATAGGTGGGGGTTGGGGGAAGATTTTCGTCCTTCCACCTGCCTGCAATATGAAGATAATTGGTAGCATTGATATAATAAGGTAGCTGACAGATGTTGCAACCAAGGGGTCAGGCTTGATACCCTGGCCAACGACCGCTCGTTACAGCGAGTGCCTGCCCGCTCATCATGAAGCTCCGAAGAAGACTCCATGGAGAGTCTCAGTGGTCAAGATAGTGAAGGCAATCCAGAACAAATAAAATTTTAAAAAGGCGCCGTTGATGAGAATTGAAGCTCTTATTTAGGAACCGCAAAAATTCTATTCATACCACAGAGATCATGACCACGATATGGAAGAATGCCGATACCTCTGGAGTTTGGTAAAAGAATTGATCATAGTTGAAAAACTCAAGGAGTTTGTGGCATCAGGAGCAACAACTCATAGAGAAGGAAAGGCTCCAGTGAAGGAAATTCCGGATGAATTGGTTCGAGTGATTGTCATTCACAATGATGGGGTGGTTACCAACAATCTTTAGAGGTGGAGATTTGCCTTTATGGGCCAGTCTGAAGAAGCTTTGGTTTGGAGAATTCTACGCATTTGCTTTTTCTTTAAAGCGGAACACATCAACCCATCATGTTTGCTGACGCAGATCTACCCCATAAGGGAAATTCTTATAACGACGCTATTATCATTACTTCCTTGATAATGAACTCTACCAGTTCAATAGCATTTTCGTCGACATTGAGAGGTTAATGAGCATTTATGTTTAAGTCGGTGACCGATAAAATGTGGCTTTAGGATGACCGATCAGACCACTTTATGGCTTCTCAGGCTTGAGAAAGCAAACCTTAGGAATAATTTCTCTCGCGGACCTGAGGAGAAGGTGAGAAACAATTCATTTATATAGAAGATTTTTTGGTTGTCGATTCATCACCAACTTACAATGCCATATTCATCTGACTCTTGCTCAACGTCTTCAAGGCTGTGTTCTCAACATACCACATTGTAGTAAAGTTCCCCGAAGATGGTGATGTCATCACTGCTTAGGGCAATCTGGCGGAGTTTTGGACTTGCTACCTTCAAGCAGTCAGAAGCGTGGAGCCGGAATCACTCAATCTTTAGAGCTAGCACGAAAGGGGTCTCAAGACTAGCGATGTCACCCACTAAATCCCTACGACCAAAGGAGAGCATGGTAAAATTTTTTTGATAATTAACAATTTTGATGCATGATTGAAAAATTTGTTGGTCCAAATCCACCGGGAGCATCGATACATCTATGTCTGGTTAGTTGTCGAGATGCCAAGAATATTGGTTGATGTTGCCTGTCATCGGTTGAACATCAATCTTACTGCCCGAACGATGAAGCAGAAGATGACTTCAAGTATCACCTTGGCCAAATCGATCTGCAAGGAGGTGCAGAAGATGCTGGAGGCTAGCTACATTTGAGAGGTGTGATATCCCACCTGGGTGTTCAACGTGGTGATGGTGTAGAAGACCAACGATAAATGGAAGATGTGCGTTGACTTCACCCATTTGAATTTTGCATGCATGAAGGATAACTACCTATTGTCAAGAATCTACGCGTTGGGGGACTCAGCTGTCAATCACTTCTTGATTAGTTTTTGGACGGGTTTTACCAAATTAAGATATTCCACCGATGCGGAGAAGATTGTTTTCATAACTAATGAGGGCGTGTTTTGTTACGATGGAATGCCCTTTGGGCTGAAAAAATGTAGGGACAACTTGCCAACGTCTCATGAATGCAATATTTTCTGAATAAAAAAGTAAAATTTTTGAAGTTTACATGGATAATATGTTGGTGAAAAATAAATCCACCGAACAACACGTAAGCGATCTAAAAGAAACATTCAAAACCCTTATAAAATATAATATGATATTGAATCCACACAAATGCACATTCGAGACCCCAATAGGAAATTTTATTGGCTATATCTTAACTCCTAAAGGAATCAAGGCTACTCTAAAAAAAATATAGGCATTGTTGGGCATGCCTTCCCCTTGGAATACCAAAGAAATTTAGAAGCTAGCTTGTTGGATTGCAGACCCGAGCTGATTCATTTCCAAGTAGCTGACAAATTTATGACATTCTTCAAAACTATAAATAAATCAAAGAAATTTGAGCGGTCAGATGAACAAGAGCAAACATTTAGGAAGCTAAAAGGCAATTTAGTGTTGCCATTATTTCTCCAAAGCCTGAAGCTGAACGAGGAACTCTCTGTAATTGGTGGTCGGGCCAAAAACTGTTAACTATATTTTTGGTCTGAGAGGGGTTGGGGAAGCAATTCCTAGTTTATTACACTAATCGAGACTGCTTAGGGCAAAAAGTTAGGTTTCCAGTTATGGTTTCCTAGTTTATTACACTAGTCGAGACTGCTGTCGGTCAACTTTTTCGATTGATTAGATTTATGAGAAGTTAACGTTTGATCTTATTGTGTCTGGTCGCAGACTCCGACCATATTTTCAAACTCATCCAGTTCAAGTCATTACCAACCATATTCTCAAATTTGTTCTTACTCCGGACCGTTCCATTTGGCTCTGTAAGCGGGCAATAGGACTCGGGCCGGACTGTTCCATTTGGCTCTGTAAGCGGGCAATAGGACTCGACGAATTTGACATCTCCAATGTGCCTTGAACTGCAATCAAAGCACAAGCAATAACAGACTTTTTGGCAGATTTTTTCGAGCAAGGTTAGCCTACCAAAGAAATAACTGCCAAGGGACAGACTTTGATGCTACACATTGACAGAGCTTCGAACCAGACAGGGTTGAGGCTCGGTCTTGCTCTCTGCCATTCGATCGAAGTTATTTTCGCTCT